AAGATTCCGTCATTACATTGTTATGTTTGTTGCAAATCAAATCCAATCAGCTAGCATGTATTATAAAACACTTGTGTCGCGAGTGTTGAATCCAGGATACGATTGATTTAAAAATCAATTGATATTCTGAACTGATTCCATTCTATGGAAATATGCAAAAACTAGCTGTTGATGGCGTTTTTTTTTTTCCAATTTTCATTGAAACAAAAAAAAAGGAAATGTTGTACACTAATCCCCCATTTATGTGATGTCCCGAGTTTGACACATGCTTGAAAAGGACGTGCATTCTTCGTTCTAAGTAATGTGTGAGCATCAGATGATTGCAACTTCGACTATAATGAAAGATCTTCAGTTTCAAATTCTGCTTCGACTCAGTTTTGTTCAGCTCGTAATGCGAGACCAATTGACTTCAGGCGACTATCCAATCATCCGCAGTCTTTACAATAATCGGTTTTGCGACATCGTTATGTTCGCTTAACCAGTTAACTGTGACAAATATATCAGTCATGATCCGTCCATCCGTCCGTGTCGGGTCTGCTCATAAATAGTTATCATTATAATGTAATTTAGAAAATATTTTTATCATTTTGTTAAGTCGTTCCGTTAAAACCCAATTTTGTACTACACACGCTCCATGTTTGACGAGTGGGGAAAGATAAGAAGGGCTTTATGAAATTAGTGAAAGGAACTTTCGCTCGGAATATGGTTAGATGGTCAATAATCGTTAGAGCTGGTGCCCATTGTCCGATCGTAGATGCTTTCTTTTTAAAATTCCCTTTTATTACATAGACCAAGGCTTCCATATTTCTATAGGATTTGAAGCTTATTCTGACATAGAAGAAACTGAATTCATTGTAAGGGTATCTGAGATGTTCCATGCTCAATTTTGTGACTCCAAAACAGGGCACAAAACGGACTTATATCTTCATGACAAGATGACAATCAAATCTTTGGTCGCAGATTTTTAAAAAATTTTTGCCAAAACGTTTCAATTTCTTTACCTCATTTCCAAAGTAATTCTTGTTAATAGCTGTAAAATGTTCATTTATTGGTGCTATAATCAAACAGCATTACTTAGCCAACAAAAGCCTTAACTCAAGTCACTGCCTTCACTATTTTCTTTTTTACTTTTGCGAAACGTTCCACTTGGGTGTTGAACGAAAATTACTGTACTTCTTCGCCAGGTCACGCTTTGTCTATCATATATATTTATGGTCTTACTTATCTTACTTAAAGATTTGCGGCACATTTTGTTTATACTATTATTTTACCAGTGTAGGGGTAAGCAACTCAAAAAGAAAATTAATGCTGTAACATTCAGCTGATTCTGCCATTTCCATTATCCTTTGCAGGTAAGAGGTGCATGCAAGTCTCATTTAAATAAAATTTTATTTGGGTCGGCTTCCGTATAGTTTGTAGGCTCCTTATACGTAACTTCTTGGTTAAGGTCTTCTGTAGTAATCCATTTTCGATGCTTGTTACCTCTGCTAACTTGAATAACCATTCCATTATCAAGCGTTCAAAAGTAAAGCTGCCATTCTTGAATGGCTCGAGCACGAAGTTAACATCAATGCCTGCAAAGCCAAACAACTATAGAATATTTTTTTTTATTTTAACTGATTTTGCAAGCAAGAGATATATCCGCCTAACAAGTTCATCATATCATCGGGAATTTTGCGTTTAATACTTTTCTTAATATATATACACACGTATGCATAATCACTATGCACATAAAATACAAGTTTATACGATTTTATTTTGTTGAAGCAAGCTAAACACTTCTACTTCGCTTGATAAATTTGGAAGGCTTGGTTGTGCAGATGACGAAAGGAAAGGAAGGAAGTTGCCAACGACGATATATATTTTTGTTGCCAGCAGATTCCACTTGAAGAAAAAACTTCTTTCCTTCTTTGTTGTATGAAATATAAAGCGAAACTTAGGCAGCGAAGATAATCGAAAAGGAAGTACGCGCGAGTAAGCAATAAATTCTTATGCCAATAAATCTATTGTATGAAAATTATGAGACAAAATGAAAACTTTTTTATTTCATTTATTTTTGAAAATGCGAAGCAATATCCGAAGATCAAACATAACCTCAACAATGAAAGCTTGGTAATTACTTCATATTTAATACGAATCTTGATGGATAGGCGCACTTAGTTTAAGTGTCACACACACTAAAAGTAAGAAAATCACGTGTTTCCAACTGTGAAGCTGTGAATTGTCACAAGAAAAAATGAACAGAAAGACAGGCCGCAAGTTATCATCTTCTCTATACATCTGATAAATTAGTTACGTGCAAATTGATTGCAAAGACTGATATAACATTCCGACATATCTAACTAAGGTAGTGTTAATCCACTTGACAAAACTAGTTTGTATTGTTTAAACATGAATTAACACTTTCTGCACATGTATATGTTACTTGATAGCAAGGTATTGATAAAAGCAAAAAAATATTCACACACATTCATACATTATATATGCTTTAATTAATAGCGTAATTTTTTTTTAATTTGTTTCGTTTACTTATGTCTTATGGTTTCCATTACTCAAGCCTTTTTTTTCGTATTAGCTAAAGCACACGTCCGAGAAATAAGAGAAATAATTGAAATTATTTAATATTTATACATATACACCATACATGTCCATTCAATATTTCAGTGGCAATAATCCAGAGTCCAGTAGTAATCAAATCATGTGACTGACCTAATTGTTTATAAAAACATTTGTACATGTTCGTTCGGTGGCAAGCATTTCTATGCGCGGTATGCGACGGGGTGGCAAAAAAAAAAAAAAAAAAAAAGGAAATAAATGAAAAGAATGCCGCACTTTTCATTGCTTTAATCATATTATAAAATTCCCATACTTTCTTACCCAATCTAAGAGAAAATCAATATTATTTGAGAATGAATTATAAGGAGAAACAAGAAACTAAACAATTGCTGTACAAATTAAATTAAAACATCATCTAGAAGAAGAAGAAAGAAGAGATAAGACGGCAAGAACAAGATAAAAGTGGAGCCTGAGACTTCAACACATGGTTGGTTGTTGCTGCTGCTGCTGCTGCTGCAGTTTAACTGGTCTGCAAAAAATTAATTTTTAAGAGATATAATAAGAAAGAGAGAAGAGGAGGAGAGCAAAGAAAATATTGAAAGCAAACGTTAAAATAACCGCAATGCGGCAAATGAAACGGTTGGAAACGGTTGAAGCAAAAGCTAAACAACGATTACTCGTATGCTGAACGAATACGACGACTACATACGAAAGAAAAAATCAAATTAATGAAAACAAGGCAAGTCGGCAAATGCAGCAGCCAAGTGGTTGCCGAAAAAGAAGGAGAAATTATTGTGAAAGAAACATTTAACAGCAAATAAACAAGTTTAACAAGGAAGGCAAGAAACAGAGAGACAGAGAGAGAGAGAGAGAGAGAGAGAAATTTCATATTTGAAATAAATATGTAAAAAATGCGTCGCGCAGAGAAAACCGTTAAATGAAACTAAACATAGTTGGAATTTTACTTAAGCAATGCATGTATGAAAACCAGCCCAGGGTTGTATTTTTATCGTGTGGATAAGAATTTTAATGTATGTAAGCAACGATAGCATAGCAAAGTAAGGACAAGAGCTTCAACCTGAAGTGATTAGAAATTTTTTCTAAATTTTTTTTTTTTTTTTTTTTCTTGAAAAAATATGCCTTATATTGTGAGACGAACAGCGAGAGACCTTTATAAAAATGAATTTTGTTTGATGAAATGACGAAAGATTCGAACAAGAGAGAGTGCAGACAATAAACGAATTATATCTCTTTGAGATCAGCAAGAGACCAAGAGAGAGAAAGAGAGTATGTAAGTGCGAAATAGGGGAATTTATTACAATTTACTGCTCTCACGCAGGTATGCAAAGCAAATTAACAATGAAAAGAAATTTTTTTTTGGTTTGCACTTTACATTCCAATTGTTAAAAACTTTTTTTCTTACTAAAAAGGCATAAAGCGATGAGCATGAACGTTAAAAGAAAATAACCTCATTTTACTTTTTTTTTCGTTTTTTGTAAAAACTATGCAAACGATAACAAGATATGCATAAAAATTTAAAATAAAATTGTGCAGAGATATTTGGTTAATTTGTTAAAATCCACACCCTTGAAATAGTATAGAAATTGTTTTTGTATCCCCGGGAATTTCAAGTTGTGAGTAAGTGTGTATGATTAACACACGTCGAATTTTTTTTTTTTTTTACATTCAAACAGCAAAAGGCAGGCAGAAAGAAGAATGAAGAAAGACAAAGTGGTGAATAAAGTAAGTAGGAAAGAAGATATGCAATAAAAAAAAGTTGTCACCGCCAGTAAAATGTAAAAAAAAAGTAAAGAGAATACGCCCAAAAATTTGATATTTTGTCGAACCAAAAATACACATCACAGCGACGAAATCTTTGCAAGATTGAACTTGAAGGCGAAAAAAAAAAGATTCCCGAAATTCTTCAAAAGTTAATATTGTTTTCAATTCTTCTTTTGCAACTGTTTTAACCCTCTTTGCCGATTTTACAAAACGCAGCCCACCTGTTGTTCATTAAATGAAAAAGGGAAGCATCAACGTCATCAGTTTCAATTTCATGAGTTGGTCGGTCTTCAATGATGCACTTTTTTGTGCACCAATTTTCAAATTTATATAGTTTTGTCCTAATCTAACCTAGGGAGTACTCACGAGGAAAAAAAATTTTGACAATCCTTTCTAAATAGCTTTAGAGTTAGTATGCAAAGCTTCGTTGTATACTAATAATATTAAAATAACTTTAGAGAACGGAAGATGTGTGAGTGGAAATTTCATAGTACAATACAAAAAGCATAGGCAAATTTGAGAAGGATGCGTTTGAACAAAAAAACAAGTTCTACTAAACACGGTCTTTCTTACTTTTCTTATTTTTCTTTTCTTTTTTTTTTGCTTAACAAGTCGAGCCTTATTAAACAGGGTGTTTTTCATATATTTTCACTTTTACTTACCATTTTAGCTAATTTGTGAAGTTTTTTCCTCTACGTTGGGATGTGTATGTTTTGCTTTTAAAGCTTTTCTTGGGCTAAGCAGTTAAGAATCCTTTAACCCTGGAATTTAAGCTGAACTGTACTCGTTGCTGCGCTAAAATCTTTTTTCTAGGTTCGGTTTCTCCAACCCTCTATAGTTTTTCGTTTCTTTTAATTAGAATTGAATTTTTTCACTTTGCAAACTAAAATAAAATAAATGCCTTAATTTTTTTTAAACAAATTTTGTAAAAAGGAAAAATCGATATTTCCTTTTCTAAAGGGAATTATCGAGTTCTTATTTTTTAATTTAGTTTTTTTTTTTTTTTTTTGGTAAAAGTTCTACATCTGACAACAGCTGTGTTTTAATTAGAGGAATTACAACAAAAAAATGTTGAGATTTATAAATAATTTTATTGTGCATAAAGCAGAGTATATGAAGCAGAAAAATTCTATTACTACTACTATCGTTGAGTGAAAGAAATACATATATATATATATATATATATATATATATATACGTTTAACCACAAGGTATACAGAAATATTTTTATTTTATAATTTTTTGTTAAATACTCCTCCTTCTTACGCACAGACTGTTATACAGATATAATTTTTTTTCTTCTTTGCTTAAACAATAGAAAATTTAAAGTTCTTCTCTCTCTATATCCGCAAGAGTTTGTAATAAAATTAGTCTTTTTTTTTCTTTTAATTCAATATTATTATTTTTTCAAGATGTTATATTTACTTTTATTTATATTTTTTTTCAAATCAACACAAAGAATCCCTTGATTAATTTAAGTGTCCGATTCGTTCAAAGAGAAAATTGCGACTGAGCTATTCAAATTGTGACTCTTGATAGTTTTGCTGGTTTTTTTTACGATTTCGCTTAAGTATGTAACGAATGTATTTTTTTTTGTTTTCGGTATATTTTATAGCTCTGCAACTCTGCATACAAAATATTTCTCCTTCTCTCTCTCTCTCTCTCTCGCGCGCTTTCTCTATGTTAATCTTTCGTTTTATTGTACGATTAACCGTTTCGTTCTCCAATTTTTTTTTTTTTTTCGTGCTTTTCTTTAACGTATCGCTCTACTGCAGCTTGTGTGTGTTATTTAACCCCTTTTTATTTTATGCTTTTGCAGTGAAAAAACTCCGCACAAAATCTGCATTTCTGCACACTAACTCTGCACTAAATATTTACTAAATTTTCTAAATAATTCGTTCCAGTTTTTTCACTCTCTTCTTCCCATGCTCTCTGCAATCTTTTATTAACTTACTTTCTTTTTCTTATTTTGTTTTTTACAACGAGTAAAAGTGGTAAAAACCGCAAACTAAAATAAAAGCAAAGAAAATAAAATGAAATGATATGAACTACTATGCACTTATAAACGTAATTTAGTTTAGTAATTTATAAGCGTATATAAGTAAGTGCATATACATATGTATATATATATATATATGTATATTGCTAAGTAATGTCAATATAATGAGTTAATTAATAATGTTTAACAATATCTTTACATCTCTTGATAACATGCACTCTATAGAAAATATTTCATACATAAAACATGAACAAAAAATATTATGATATCACTTTATGATGGATGCAATGTAAAATGTAAATAAATATCGTTGAACGAAACCTTTTTTTTTTTGATTTTTATACTTGAATGCATTAGTAATAACAATGCGGAGTAGGTGGATTAAGATTGAATGAATATATGTTGAATACTTGACTTAATTTCTTACTTTTGTATACCCTACGCTACTTGTGGTAAAGGGTGAATTAAGTTTCTGCAGACGCTTATAGCACACACAAGGTTTAAGATAGACCCCCACCCACCTTTTATTATGCCGACTAATTTAGAATAAATTTTTTAATCGATCTAAGCTAGTCTGTCTGGTATACCGATATTTTTTGGCCCAATATCTAATTAGACGTAAATTAAGTTTGCCAAATTTAGATCACGTCATATGATGTTTTGGGCATTCTCCAATATGAGGACTTTCATGAAAACTATCTCTTTGCGGGGAAATGGTGAGCAATTTTTGATGTATTATTACCAAAACTAGTCAATAAGTGATGTAGGATATATAATGGGCGACCTTGCCCCATTGCAAGGTTGTTGCCCTTTTATATTTTAGACAAGTTTCCTCATCAAATCGTAGGAAGAAGCTTATTGAAAGTGACTTATAACGGACCACTTTTACGAACACAAAAAAACAAAAATCGCCAAACTCAAATTGCATTGAGTGATAACACATTCATCGGTACACTAAATTGATGTGAACAACCTGAATCGCAAGGACAACCCTGTCCATCAACGCAAAATATGGCAAGAAATCTAATTTTTAATTAATTTTATAATGAGATTTTTTCTATAAACGAGTCTCAAATTTGCACCGCGTAGATCTTTAACGACGCTCATGGAAAGCATACCTTAACACAACAAGAAAGTCTGCTTTTAAGGATTTTACAACAAAAATAGATGAACAATTTTTGGCAAGAATATTTCAATTTTGGCAAATTTGGACCGCGTCAGTTTATGCGTTATGCCCGCTCCCATATAACGGCCAATTTGCAGACTTATATCTCGAGAAGAAATTAAGCATTATATTAAGTGATACGCAGGTAGATGGACAGGTGTTTAAGCGAGAAAGCAATCTGAATGATCGACCTATCGTACTAAAGAATGTTGTACAGAAATGATGGATGAACTGTTATGAACTTCTCTGAGTAAATAGCATATGATGGAAATTAATTCAATTACTTTTCTGAATTTCAAGTTATACTGTAGATGACCCATTGTCATTATGGAATTGTATAGAAATTTACCTTCCCATATGTCTAACAAATGAAATGCAAGAATACTTAATTATTAAATATGTATTATGTAAAAAACTCATCCACTTTTATGCATCATGTTTAGATATGTAACTCTCTATAACTATAAGCTTAACTTAATATTGTACTAGTTTTCGGATGGGATTTAAGCCAATTAAAAATGCATACGAATCCGTAATACACACATATATGCATGCATACATATACAGTTGATTTTACAGTAAATGTAACGTATAAACGATGGGTACAAATATGTATAAAAAAAAAAAAGAACAAAAAAGACAAGACGACACAAGCAACACAAGATTAACAAGAACAACACAAATATATGTGTATATGAGGACACAAGCAAACAAACATGTAACTTATACGGCATACCACAATACAAAAACGGAGTGAATGTTCGGCTTACTGTTGTATATTTGCAGTTAGCAGGCAAGCAAATACAAGTAAGCAGATGTTATTATGTTTTATATATATGTGTTTATATTCACATATGTATATGTTGATGTGTATGCGTATATATGTGAGAATATGCTTATGCAAAGTCTCTCTGGAGGACAAACATTTTGCCGCATTGTCATTTATCGGGTGACAACGCGTCAAATATACACTCGCTATATACAAACAAATAAACAAACAAACAAACAAACAAACAAATAAAGAACATTTACACATAATCAATGGACTGTAGAAAAATTTGTCGCAACATGTCGCATTTCAGTAGTCCACCATCGCATTCTCGCACACAAACATCACATCAACATGTATATACAATGTATACCGCTGCAGTGACAGAGACAGAGACTACCCAGCGTTTAACTACACACCCAGTCATGCTCATGTTGCTTTGCTTTGTTGAGCTTTTGATGATGGTAGCAGAGCTAGTGTTTGTTTACTTGTTATTATTGTTGTAAGCAATCAATGTTCTACATACGCATTCTTTACACTCATACCAAATGCTTGGTTATGTTCTGTTATTTAAAATTTCTTTTATTGTTTTTTAGCGCAGCAAATAAATAAATGGAATTTAGATGAAAAGAAAAAAAGAAAAAAAGAAAAAAGAAGCTAAATAAAGCGAATAAATAATTGAATGAATGCATGAATGAAGGAGTGAATGTATATCTATATATGTATATGAATGTGTTTGTACGGATGTATGTGTGTATGTGTGTATGTGTGTGTGTGTGTGTGTGTGTGTGTGTATGCTCAAGAGATATTGTAAGCCAAAAGAACTAGCCGACAACTGACAACAGCAATGCGCCATTTTTTACTCGACGAACCAACAACAATAAAAATGTTGGCTAAATAAAAGTTTTATAAATACATAAACACACAGATAAACATCCATACGACTTATTCATGTTCATCTACAATAAACTATTGATAGCTAACTGACGACAGTCTTAACTGCCACTAAATAAATTTATGTACACGTGTATATGCATATATATATATATATATATATATATATATATATGTCTGTTTACTATTCACTTAAGCTTTAAAAAAAAAATAATAATAAAAAAAAGGTACGGTTTGGTTAGTAAAATAAGAAAGCCTCAGCTGTTATGTTGTTAAAGTAACTTAAAAAAGCTCTAAGGAAATAAGCTGAGGGTGTGTTGTAGAATAAATTTCGCAATGCGCCATCTAACTAGAAAGTCAGAGAGCGAGAACGAGAGCAAGTACGAGTGCGAACGCGAGGGACAAAAGGGACGAGATAATCAAGTACTTAATTTTATCAAATAAACACATGCTCAATAACGCTATATATAACACACATTTATCGTTACGCTTACGCATGGCCATACATACATGATTATATATCGCAATCGTAAACAACTTTCTTTTTCTTTTTTTTTTTTTGTAAATATTTTGATTTTTTCATTTAAACCACAACTTTACTTAATCGTAACCTTTTAGAAGAAATAAAGAATTTTGCTTGTGAAGCACAAGCTCCCCATTCTCTCGATTTTTTTAATAAAGAAAATTTGAATAATTTAAGTTTTTACATGCATGCGTGCATACAGCCATGCATGCCAAAATACTTTCCAAGTTTACTTAAGGGATCGAGAAGTTATTGTATTAATATTTGCTTGTACGTTGTTGTTGTTGTTGCTGTTATACGACACTGCGTTATTTCTGGAACGCACTGTTTTGCGTGTGTCGCATTATGACAATTGTAGAAAATTGTGCAGAAAATGCAAATGGTCAGAAGTACGTAACGCAAAAAAAAGAAAAAATAAATAAAAAAAATACATAAAATTAACTAAAAATATACATCTATATATATATATATATATGCGCGTAGATTGTTCTAAAAACTCAAGTATTAAACTTTAAAAGCAGATACACGGGGTTCGAGATTAGAAGTGTACGTCTATTTAGCTATTCACGGTGAGTTTTAAACGCAAGCTTAGACAAAAAATTAGAGAGAAAATTGAGTCTCTTCATACAATCCTACAAACGATGTCCGTCCAAAAATAAATAATTAATCTTAAACCAGGAACAACAGGAACTGAATGCTTTTCAATAATTTTGTCCGTCCGGGGGTTTTTTACGAACAAATTTAATCAGAAAGCCGATGCAAAGCATTTTCACGCATGCCGCTCATCAGCCCGACTCTCTGTTGAGGAGGCTTGTTAAGCCGTGTAACCATAATTTTCTTTATATGCTTCTACTCTTCAAGGATTCAAATGACCTTGTTTGAAAATACTCGCATGTAATACGCGTACAAGAGCTAGACTTTGAAATATCTCCCAAACCCAAAAGAGTTCTATTACAAGGTAGCCAACAGAAGTCATCGACAAAGTAGGCGAGACAAGCTAACGGACGCTTACAATTTGCTATAACGTAAGTTAAGATAAAAAGTCCTTCTCCTCCTCACTTCACAATCTCATGGTCAAATGACTTCATTTATCACGTTGCTTGTCATATCTGACACCGTTCAATAGTTTAGCAGTTTACTACTACCTCGGTTTACGTCTGAGAGTATCCTAGT